ATCTGCTTCTGGCTTCTCCCTCTACAGTATGACGAATCTCAGATCTGCCCATCTACTGCTACTAGTTGCTGACTGTCGCTTAGTAGCAGTTTCACTCCAGAATGCTGTGAACAGTGTTTCCCACTGGGCCACTACTCATGGGTTTAAATTTTCTAGTGCTAAAACGCAAACAATTACTTTCACTAGATGTTCAATCATCCCTAATACTCCATTGTACCTGTATGGCTCACGAATCCTCAAATACGATATGTTCAGATTTCTCGGTCTGCTGCTGTATAGCCCTTGTGGCTTAGCGCTTCTTTTTGATTATAATAATAATAATAATTCTCGGTCTGCTGTTTGATCGCCAGTTGTCTTGGAAACCTCACATTACCTCCCTGAAAGCAATTTGCCATAGCTGGCTGAATCTCCTTAAAACCCTTGCTTATCTTTCATGGGCGCAGATTGTCAAACCCCCCTTTGACTGTATTCAGCCCTAATTTTATTGAAGCTTGATTATGGTGACGATATATTCTGCGGCCTCTCCTGCAACTCTTCTAAACTAGATCCCATCCATCATCAGGGATTACGTTTATGTGTAGAGGCCTTTTTACTCCTCATCTGTCGAGAGCTTCTATGCAGAAGCAACTGACCCATCCTTGAATGATCGTCGTGATGCTCATTGCTTCCACTATTTTGTCCGCTCTCATGACCTTCATGATCCTTCTACATATAGGATACTAGTAATGAACATTAGCAGAAGTTCATCATTTGTTTACGCCCCAGTTTACTCCATCCCTTTTCTCTTCGTTTTCAATCGCTGTCTTCTCTTCAGTTGCCCCCATTATATGTTCATTTAGCATCTAATTTTCACTTCCCCCTTGGGAAGTTCCGACAGTTAGTGTGTTTTTCCTGACTGCTGTGCGTGAAAGCCCAAATTCTTACAGTTGCTTCTCGCTCTCTTTTTCTTAATCACTTCCAATCTCATTTTCATGCTGTTGCAGTGTACACTGATGGTTCTAAATCCTCTAATGGTGTTGGGTTGGTAGTAGTGTTTCCTGACAATGTAGTGCGAGGTCATTTATTAGACTCTGCTAGCCTTTTTTACAGCTGAATTGCAAGCCATTCTCATTGCAATTATCTGCATTGCATCCATGCCTACTTTAAAGTTTGTAGTCATCTCAGACTCTTTTAGTGCTTTGCAAACTATTAAAAAACTGATTCACCTCATCCCCAAGTTCTGTGTGTACAACTTTGGTTATGTCGTATTACTAGCAAAAATAAAGAAATTGTTTTCTATTGGGTCCCTGGTCATGTTGATGTTCTGAGCAATGAACAGGCAGACTCTGCTGTGCGATCTGCAGTACATGACCTACCAGTTTCATATATCAATCAATCAATCAAATTTATTCTCTATAAAGATTACAATGTGGAGTTTACATATTATAAATATTGGTTACAATGTGTGGTTTACATATTATAAAATATTAATTACAGAGAGGACCACTATCATGCCTATCATGACTAGGTATTTCGGGCAGATTAAGAATACGTACAGTGGACCCTCGACCAACGATGGCATCGTCTAACGTTAAATCCGACTAGCGATACATTTTAACGCAAAAATTTTGCCTCGACTAGCGCTAAAAAACTCAACCAACACGATTCGTTCCGTTCGAGACATGTCCACTTGTGGCCAGTGTTTACAAGCCAGCCAGCCAGCCACTGCGGTCCCATCCAAACACACAATCAGGAACATTTTCATATTATCACAGTGTTTTTAGTGATTGCACCTGCAAAATAAGTCACCATGGGCCCCAAGAAAGCTTTTAGTGCTTTTTATTATCACACTGGCCGATTCCCACCAAGGCAGGGTGGCCCGAAAAAGAAAAACTTTCACCATCATTCACTCCATCACCTTCTGGCAAGACAGTGATGGAGTGAATGATGGTGAAAGTTTTTCTTTTTCGGGCCACCCTGCCTTGGTGGGAATCGGCCAGTGTGATAATAAAATAATAAAAAAATCAAGAAAGAGATCATTGCTAAGTATGAAAGTGGAGTGTGTGTCTCCGTGCTGGCCAGGTTGTACACAAAACACCAATCTACCATCGCTACTATTGTGGCCAAGAAAACGGCAATCAAGGAAGCTGTTCTTGCCAAAGGTGCAACTATGTTTTCGAAACTGAGATCGCAAGTGATAAAAGATGTTGAGAGACTGTTATTGGTGTGGATAAACAAAAAACAGATAGCAGGAGATAGCATCTCTCAAGCGATCATATGTGAAGAGGCTAGGAAGTTGCATGAGGATTTTAATTAGAAAAATGCCTGCAACTAGTGGTGTGTGCGTGAATTCAAGGCCAGCAAAGGTTGGTTTGAGAGTTTTAAGAATCGTAAATGCATTACATAGTGTGATAAGGCAGGGTGAGGCCTGCAGTTCGACAAAAAGCAGCCTGAAAAGTATGTGCAGGAATTCAAGGAGTACATAGAAGTGAAAAAACTGAAACTGAACAAGTGTTTAATTGGGACACTGACAAATGTTGTGAAACTTTTAGGAATTGTCATAAAGGAACGGGAGGTACAGGCCTCTAAGGACAGAATATGTTGTGCGACAGAGGTCCTGACTCTCAAGATGTCATAGTGGCATTAAAAGAAGAAGGGAAGTAAACAAACCCCCAGAATAGGACTTTGACACCTCCGTCCTATTGAGAGGATTTCCTTTCTAACATAACACCACCTAAAACACTCTCCCTCCTCCAATTACTTCTATCATCACCGATCTTCACATAAAAAGGTAATTGTACATGTCTTCTTCAGTTTGTTGTATAAAATTAATATTTCATATGGTAATTTTTTTTGTTCAATTCTTTTGGGTGTCTGCACGGATTATTTGATTCCATTTTTTTATGGAGAAAATTAACTCGACTATCGCATAATTTCGTTTAACGAGGAAGCTCTCAGGAACGGATTAATATCGTTGGTCGAGGGCTCCACTAATTCAAACTACGTATATTGATACAAGTTATGGTGCATATTGATATTTGTAAATTTAGCAATGAGAATGGTTTGTCCTGGCATGATACATAGTTTCTATTAAAACGCTATATGCGTATCTTCAGGCAAACACTTATGACTGGTTTAAGATTCATTAGGCATAGCTTATTAGGTAATTTTATGTTTACAGCATTTGGGTGTGCGCGTAAATTGGGGGAATCACAGACTACGCGAGAGTAGGTTCTAGATTGTTTTTTGTGTGTGTATGATACAAGTAAGGAGAATAGGTGGTTTTAATGTAGTTAGCTGATGGTGGGGTGTGTCAGTGCGATAAGATGTTTTCTAACGGATAGTTTTGAAAAGTGGTGGTTGTCTGTCTGCCAGTTCTAGAGTTTTCAGGTAGGGTGTCCAGATTTTAAGTCCTTTGATGTACATTGAATTTTAGTTATAGGTTTAGCCAGACACAGGGAATGTCAGAAATTTTTGTACTGGTGTTATGCTGTGGGTCCTGTCACAAACTATGAAGAAAGTGGTTAATTTAGGGTTAATAATAGAATTTATGGATTTCTGTTAAAGGTAGGTTGCAAAGTAGTAAGTGTTGGATGTTCTGTTACAGTAAATTTTAGATCTTGGAAGGGGGGGGGCGGGTGTTGCCTGGGATTGGAGGAATGAATATTATTATGGGGCTTTTTGTTGAGGTTATTATTGGCTTTAGGTGTGTTGTGCTGTTGATCCCCAGGAACCCAAATAAGCATAGTTGAGGTAGGGATAGTGAGTGAATAGTATTCGTGTGAGAAGGGCAGATTTGTGGCATATTAGGTAAGTATCTTGGATGAGTGATCCCAACCGTTTTGGATACTTTTTATGTTGTGATAGTGTTGAATATGGCCGTGCTAAATTCAAGGCGTGCTGTCGAGGTTCAGGCCTAGGAATTTTGCCCTCATATGTCTGGCAATAAGAGTGTTGTCCAATTTAATGTTAA